CGTAACATCACTGCTAAATCGCGAATCAGCAACTTAGTAATATACTTTAACTCGGAAATAAAATAGCTTGTCGGATTAGAGGTATAGAAGTTAATGCGCAGTCCTAATACAGGTTCTACTTTTATTGGACATACGTACGTTCGAACCTAGAATCGCGAAATAAAGAGACGGAATACGAAACAACGCGAATGAAAGAAAGCGAGGAAAAGGGAGAGAGAAAAAGAAACTTGAGACTTATGCAAAGCTGACCACAAAATGTCTGACGTAACTTTCCTAGCTAATCCCAGAACCGTAAGACCTTGGAAAGATAAAAATAGTAGAATCTTTTCCATTCTCGCTTTTCGGGTCGCGCACCTCCCTTCGCATTCATTCGTTCTTATTTTTGTTACGGAACGAGGGGTGTTAGTACCCCAAAGCCAAAGACAAGTGAGAGAGTAAGAAGGGGAAGAAGGAAGATCTGCGAAACAGTGCTACGAGGAATGAGGACTAAAATATTCAATGCTTTCTTCCTTTTTGTAGATAATTACACCCCTTGCGAATATAAAGTGCTTGGTGTAGCTCGAAATTAAAAGCACCAGAACTGGCGCGAGAAGAGCGGTACGCGGTTCCTGTCTGTTCCAATTTCTCGATCGTGCAATTCTTGATCGAGCTAGTCCTTTCTCGATACGTCCTGGCGTTCTAGCAACTTTTTTCCCATCAAGAGACGTGCACGTTTCGCGGTTTTGTTCCTCCGGATTATTTTTTTTTTTTTGCTACGACTAGCGGTTAAATTCGTTAATGAATCCATTAATCAAATTAACAACATTTATGACTTGTATAATGTTAATTTCTCGTATCATTAAGGGACATCGGCGTTACAATTCTGCGCGAGAAAAAGGTCATTTCTGAGCAAAAACACGAGAAAACAGGATGTAGCCTCGGACACGAAAGACCCTCATTAGGGCCACCGTAAAAATTATAAACGAATTTCGCGATATCGTAAATCCGACTTAAATGAACGAAGAAAAAAGAAAGAGTAATCTGTTCACGTGCGCTTTCACGCGACGAGCGAGGGAGCACCGAGAGTGTAAATTTATTTAATGCCCTTTGCATATCTTTCTTTTTAAGTGCCCGCTGGGCACAAAAGGGGGCGGGGATACAGCGCCTGAGGAGAATGGGCATTATGAATTCAGGCTTTAAGACGCAATTATAACACGGAAATATTTCATGGCCCATAAATATAGCGTCGGACGTATGTTAAACGCTCGCCGGAACTTTTGACGCGAAGTTAACGCGACCATTATTTTGCAGTCCCGCGCTAAAAGTGCATTGCAAATTAAGAAATTATTATCGCCACAGTATAATAATCCAAGAATTTTTCACGCGAGAATTCGCTCGAGTATTATATATATTTTATATACGAAAATACGCATCTTATTTTTCAAAAATCGAAAGATTTTCGAAATCACGAATAGAGCCGGTGCATTTGTCGGTTGATTCGCATCGAGGGGTTGCTTTAGCGCGAAATGTGACTGTCAGGGGATTGACCCTCTCATTTGTCCGATACGAAGGACGTGTTCGTATTTACATAAAGTGGTAACCGGACGGACCGTATTCAGTGCGGAATATACGACGCGAAAATACGCACCGCTAGACAGTTTACTTTCGGCAACGAACAATGGCCAGCTTAATAAAATGTACGGGCGGGTACAATTACGGATATCATTTATTTCGCGCGGGTGACAACGATGGATTACAACGGCAACCGCAATTTAGATTCTTTGCTACTTGCGATCTCGGAGACTCTCGCCGCGCGGGATAGATTTATTTCCCGCTTTAAGCGCCCGAAAGCCCCTTCCCGGATGCAGATAGGGACGTTGAATGAATTAATCCATACCACATTTGGGTGGTTGTAAGAGTGTTTAAATGGGGCGGTAGGGCGGATGGAGAGGCCCGCTTGTATAGCAACCGTTGTTTAAATCGTAAGCCGAGCTTAAATTGTCTGCCATCCAATCCTAGGTTTGCGCTTGACTCAAGTTGCAAGCAGGTATAACTCGGCGTTATAACCGGCAGGAAGCATTATGGCCACCATTGTTCACTAATATTCCGCTTTCCGTGTTGCCGAAGTTGTTTCTAGGACGTCGATGACAGCCTTAGCGCGGTCGAGGGGCGCAACAAGCAGTAATACGGCAAGCTAAACACGTTGTTTTAATAGATAGAACTTGGCCAAGTAATTGTTACTTTCTCTCTCTCTCTCTCTCTCTCTGCCTCTCTCTTCCTCTCTGTCGCACTTTTATGAATTTTTAATTTATACCAACGTTATGCATAGAGAGTAATAACAAGTGTGTGAGTGCGGTCGGAAAATGGATATTAAATCGTAAATCGTAATCTTACGCTCGAAATAATGGATTTGCATTTATATTTCCATTTCTTTTAAAAGAAAAGCAGTTGCTTTCATAATAAATCAGAAGTAATTTTGATTAAAAATTGTTTTTTTTTTCATTCGTCACTTTTTTATTCTTCAATTCTCACTAATAATAAAAAAAGTAAAAGCGGCTTTAGCTGGATTAATTATTTATTGAAAAATTTCCAGTAATAAAATCAAAATTTTTCAAATGGGTCGCAAATTTCAGAAATAAATGTCAGATAAATCAGACAATAATATCCTTTTTTTGTTCACGATGATAAAAATATTCAGACGTCGAGCGAAAGCTAAATCCTTCTTTGAAAAGGCGAAGCAGATGGATGTATTTGCCGGCAAATCGGTGCTCAAAAGCCTACTCGACTTGAATCGTCGATTCAAAATCGTCAATCTCTATGCAAGCCTCATTGAACTAAGAGACGATGCAAGCAGATTTGACTTTGCGATAACAAGACGATTCGAGACATTTGCGTGTAAACAAAAGAATTGAAATTTTTGTAATTAAGAGAATCGAGAAATCACACAATTTATGTAATAAATATTTAATTTCGTAATCAAATAAAATTTGCTAACAATCCTTCTTCTTATTTAATAACTAAATAGAAATTAATTTATTACAAGTTACAATAGAAATTAATTATTACAATAGAAATTAATTTATTACAAGTTGCTCATATATTTATATTTTGCCCTGCATTCACATAATATCCTACCCTCGAATATCGTAAATCTAACATACGCGGTCTCACATACGTAATAGA